TACAAGTGTGGGGGGAGGGGGGTCTCTTTCACGCGGCCACGGTTGATCTCCACGGGGCAGTAAGCGGGCAGGTCAGAGTAAGGAAAGAGCTAAGTGTGCCTTGCCACCTGGGACAGAGTCGCCAAGCCAGCCAGGGGTGCTGAATGTTTTCCTTCTTGCCTTTTTGGTCCCCCTATGATCTCCAGCTCTCTTCTGTGGCCTTCTAAAATAGCCATTAATTAAAACCTGGTAATTAACTTTCTGGTTCAAGTAATATTTTGCAAAGGAATTCCATTAAAGAGTCGATTTGCATATCCTCAGACATAGGGGCCTGGAAATAAGTGGGTGACTTGTGGAGAATGCGATAGGCCCCTTGGCACCCCAGGCATGGGCTCTGCTGGCCCCTGAAGGCACAAGGGGATGAAGAAGGCAGCTGTCCTCATGGCCAGGTGTATGCCGAGCCCTGAGGTTCTCCCCAAGCAGGTGGGCAGTTTGTTCACAAAACTGGCCAGCTCAGTGGCCACACACCCAGACTGAAACTGCACACAGATGTGCACATGTGACAGCTCAAACACAGAACACACTATACACACAGTATGACCTGGTATATGCAAACACACACACACAGCAGTAGACGTGTACACATAAGAAAACAGACAACAATAATGATAGCAGTCAACACTTAGTGAGCACTTATTAGATTGAACCATATGTCTATATTCGACCTACAAAAACAGCCACTTCATATGGTCCAACCCAATATGAAGTGCCAGGCACTGTTCCAAATGCTTTACATGTGATTAGTCATTTCAAACACACAGACGTGTGTAAGGACATTTGCATATAACGCACACACACCTTCATAAGGGCAGGTACATACTTGCAAGACATACAAAAACATGCATGCACAGATGTACAAATGCTTACGAGCTTGTACAAAGAAAGGCTTCTCCAACCTTTGAAACCCCCAGCCTGGGGCTGATCGCATTCCCACTAGCTAATTTCCACCGTTCCTAAAAATATTGCCCAGCTCCAATCTCTGGAAGATACACGAGGGAGCCACAGATCTAAAAGGAGGGCGATAAAAATGAGAAAGCAAAAAATAAATTGGTTCTTCCCTACGTCCAGGTTGTGTTCTGTGGCTTTCCCCTCCCTCTCTGGAGATGAGGCTCAGAATCATGTGCTCACGTGTGGGGCCTTGGTCAGCCCTGCCCCGCAAAAGTGCCCATGGGGCTCCAAGTACAATGTTGCAGACAGGGTAGGACCTGCTTACCAGGCCTGGCTTCTGTGATGGTCCCACCTCCGTGCCTTTGACTGCATGCCTCAGTTTCCATGAATCTAACAACCCTTTCACTGCTTACCTACCTTGCAGGGCAGAAGACCTCTCAAAATGCTGTGTAAATGCCAGGCCTCCTTAGAATAATTATCGGATTAAGAATTAAACCTGATTCTCTTATGGAGGGGAAGGGAGAAGGGAGAGGAGAGCTGGGTGAGCCTTCCTTGCAGGTAATTAATGAATTCCCTGCCATACCTCTTGGAAGGCAGGAGCCCATTTAACAAAGATCCACCTACATGGGCCTCTCAGAGCTGAGGGAGGCCACACAGAGCAACTAAGAATCCTGCAAGGGGCTTGTCTAAGAACGTTCAGAAGGCAAAGGACAGAATTAGACAAGACTCAAAAGAAGAAGCACTACTGGCCATTAAACTCCAGAAAATAATATTCAATCCCTAACAAACAATGAAATGCAAATAACAAAGAAATGCCATTTTTCTGCCTATTTGAATGACAAAGATAATTTTAATGACACCCAGTGTTTTTAAGGGTGTGAGGAAACAGGTGAGCACTCTCAAAAATCATTGGGGGGAGTATAAATTACTACAGGCTTTTTAGTGGGGGGCATTTTTATCAAAAACCTGAAATTGTTTATATTCTTTGACCTAGTAATTCAATTTCTAAGACTTTATCCTATGGAAATAGAGACGTGAACAAAGATAAATATTCGAGTATTTAATTACCAGCATCATTTTTAATAAAAAAACACTGGACATAACCTAAACATTTAAATGATTAAAAACAAGTATGGCCCAAACATAGCTGGAACAATGGACTTTTAAAATACACATAGAAGTTTGTCATCATCCCATCCCGCCCTCCCACGCCCCCTGATGTAGACAGGAACAAGGGTCACTCTGCCCTGCTAGTTACTGTATTCAAGTTAATAATGATTCTCTGTACAACCCTTTTCACTTTTCCAGGGACAGCAACATCCAGTATCTCTCTTGAACCTCAGAAGAACATAGCATGATTGCCTGATATTAGTCCGACGTTGTAGATGAGAAAACAGAGGCTTATCAAAATGAAGTGACTTTTTCCCACCTATGGTAACTCTCACTTACTGAAAACCTACAACATACTAGTCTAGCCTCTTTCACGTGTTATTATGCATTTAATAACATTTTAGAAACATTTAAGAAATGTGCAAGACCTGGTGTTAGTTGCCTAGGAAATAGCACTGAATGGGACAGTCTCTATTAAACACATACTGAATATATTAACATTAACGTTTCCAAAGACATTATCATCATGAGACCCATTTTGCAGATGTGCAAACTGAGGCTCAGAAAGCTTATGCGACTTGCCCCAAGAATGCCTGGCTTCAAAGCCACACACTTCCCATTATTCCCAGAGACTGTCTAAATTGCACAATCATCTCGACGTCACCCAGGGGAAGGCAGAGGACCAGACACTCCCTATCCATGGCAGGGGAGGGAGAGAGGCAAGAAAGGCCAAGTCCTTATGCCCAGCTCCTCCTGCACCTACTGTCAACAACTAGAGCAGGAAAACGGATCCCACCTTCTATTTTCTGTTTCCCGCTAAGCTTCCCCTCCGCTCCCCAGGGACTGCCTCACCCAAACGGGCTGAACTGATTCCTGCCTACTCAGGGCCACTTGGGGGTTCTTGAAGGCCCCCAGCCCACTTCCAAGTATCTCCCTCCCTAGCTTTACTCTGCCTGGAATCCCACCATTAGTAACTTTCAGGTGTGGGAACTCCAGGCAACACACATATTCCTGAGAAGGGGTCATCAATCTCTAACTCTGCACACAGCAGCCCTGCATGCCTGCACCTGGCTTGCCCACGTTTACAGGATCAGCTCTGCACCAGGCCAACTGGGAAGAATGCGAAGGGGGTATGGCCACTTCAGAATAACTACAGGGGTAAGGGAACAGGTTGAGACCCAGAGGGGGCATACTCTCAGCAACCGCGGAGGGCCAGAGTCACCCAGAAACAGCAGCACCGAGGCAGTATAATATTGCCGGCTGACCCTCCTAGCTACTCAGGACCATTAATAAATGAGTGACTTGGAAATCATCTTCTGGGAAGACAGAACCACCACATTCTAGATGGCTTTTACCAACATTAAGACAGCCTTGTAAATGAAGCAGCAACACTTCCAGCCTGCAAAACAAAAAATGCTTCTGCCAGCACACCTTTCACCTGGAAAATCCCTGAGCAGCATTCATTTCCCTTATCCAGGAGGCATGATTACCTGTCTTTGGTGCTTACTTCCAAAACCTCCAAAGAAGAAATGAGTGTCTAAGGGGGCCAGGGATTTTGGAGACCAGCTGGAAACCTCCCATAAGCCATTTCAGGAGAATAAGTACAAAGGCTCAAACCAGTCCTGTGGCCCTCGAGGCCCCCCGGAGCCCAGCTGTGCCCACCAAGCCCTGGCTGGCCTGACCCTGGCCTCACAACCAAGACATCGGCCCTCTCCCCCAACCAGCAGTGCTCAGCGGCCCCACACCTGGCTAGACTCCTTTCCCAGGGAGCCAAAAGATTCCAGCACAGAACCAACTGGTTTCCAGCCTCCAGATGAGAGAATTCCAGCGCAAAAAATAACCTCCACAACACAGCAGTTTGCAGACCACAGCAGACAGCATGCAACAAAGCCGCTTCAGCGGCCCTAAAGCAGACAGCGTTATCCAAAGTCTGAACCCAACTGGCCGCCCCAGAGTGCCCCACGCTCTTTACTGACAGGGAGAAGCCACGAGGACCAGGGCTCACACTTGCTACCCTAGAAGCTTCCGCCCTCCTTCCCATGCCTATCCCTTCACTGAGGCTGCACTTACCCCCTCCCTGGCCAGGAACATGGCAGCCCAGTGGGGGTCCCCTGGAACCAGGACCCAATCCCCTCCTCACTGCTAAGCCAAGCCAAAGGCAGCCCATTCTGTCCTCCCAGCCTTCAACAGTACAACCACACCACGCGGAGTAGAGGGAGGCTCCTCTCCACTCACCCAGGTTTGACCATGAGGGTTTGGGGAGGGGGGTTCCACCATAGTTGGTTTTACTCAGCCAAGTCCACACAGGACGACTCCAGGGACTGCCCCAGAGAAATAGCTACCCAAGAGAAATATCTGCCCATCCATCCCCGAAGCAGCTGATAAATCTATTATTTCTAAGCCAAGCAGTAAAGCAGGAGATCCCAGTCTCCTGACAAAGCCGATTTCAGCTCCAAGGCTGGGTCCAGGGATTTCAAACTCAGTCTCTCTGCCTATCCGTGAGAAATCTGGGCTCCCTTCCTGTGCCAGAGAAGCCACCAAGCCAGATTTTGTTTATAGAAAATTAATAAGACAATTCCACACCATTGCCAGTGACATTCTGCTCCAACTGCTACTGTTAGCACTGTTTCTAGAAATGAGCTTATAGTTTCACTCCCGAACCCCAACCCTCCCCCCCCCACCTCTCGCCCCTTAGGCATTGTAGCAAGGCTGACCTGACCTGAGACCAAGCTGGACAGGACCTGCTCGAGGTCATCTGGGCCATGCCCCGACCTCCAGCCAGGAGGCTGGGTTGCCAGCCAGCACTTGCCGGCTTCTTGGTGCAGGCTTCCCGCTGGAGGGAGGTAAACATGGCATGCATGCTGTCTGCTCCCGGGAGGGCAGACACACTCAGAGGCCGGACCGCCTGCTGTCTCTCTTGCTCCCCGGACAACCGACACATGCACACAAAACGGGGTACGTACACAAGCCCCCTCATGCGGGTGCAGAGGGTCCTGACCCCCGCCAAGGAAAGCGCAGAGAAAGGCATATTCCTGGGGGAGAAAGCCGGAGGCAGGGGCCGGGCGGAGGGAGGAAAGCAGCAAACCGGGTGGCCTGCCGCCCAGACAATAACAAAGATGGGAAGCGAGATTTTCAAAGACGCAGTGGCTGCACCCAGCGCTGAGCTCTGGCCTGGCTGCATGCTCCTGCCAGGGCACGCCTGGTCCCCCGGGGCACCACGGCCATCAGAGAAAGGCTGAGGGTCCTGCCTCAGGCTGGGCTTGGCAGCTGTGGCAGGAAACCAGCTGCAGGCAGCGGTGGGGATGCATTGGAGAGAGCAGCTCTGGGCTGATGGAAATTAAAGGTCTAGTAATTCTCCCCGGGGATGGGAGGGGTGCTCTCCAGGAAGATGCTAGGGGTCAGTTAAACAGCCACTCAACCTTGGGCAGGAGTTGGGCTATAACTTGTACTCCTCTGCCTGATGGAACCAACGGGGAGGAGAGAGACATTTTTATTCTACCTATGCCTCCCCTACAGGGAGTGCCAACTTGCCAATCATACACAGGGGCACAGCCCTATGGAGGCAGATGCCAGGGGCCTGAGATGTCGGGGCTGAATGCTGAAAAGGCTCCTTGGTGCCTGCCTGTTCCTTCACCTCCACTAGCTGAGCACGGACACGTTCTAACTGGCACCGGAATCTATCACGGTGCCTGTGCCCAAGTGGAAAGGTGCCGTGGCAGGTAGGGCTCAAGGAGGGGGACCCGGCCCAGAGACTGTATCCGCCCAGTGCCCCCGCACCCGGACAGGATGGCTTGCCCTTGCGAGCTGAAGCCTGCTCTGTTGCTGGTGACTGGGAGCAGGCTGAACCACCTCCTCCCTCTCCTCCTCTGCCCCACAAGCCACCTCCCCCTGGAATTTCCACACCTGCTCCTGGCTTGCCCAGGAAAAGGGAACAGGGAACAGGAGACACCCCTGGGAGTGGAGAGGTGAGGGAGGGAAGCAGCTGCCCAGGCTGGAGAGGATGAGGCCCTTCTTTCCTAGCCTCAGGCAATGCCCCTGAGCTCAGAGACCCGGCACTGCCCCCTCTGCTCGCCCCAGCCCCCAGCGGAGCACGCGCCCTACTTAGAGCAGATGTGCCCCCTAAGCGGCCCAGCCCCCTGCTCCTCCCCTCCAGATGTTCACCCTTTTCCTCACCACTGGGTCTCGGCAAAACCCAGCCGAAAATGCCTTTTGTATCGGACACCCGGAGGCTCCAGAGGCAGGGGGATGGGTCCTGGGGGTGGAGGCGCCACTTCGGTCCCCAGCTCCGGGCACTGCACCGCCCGGGAAACAATGCCCACCTCGGCGAGGCGAGGCGAGGCAGGACTTCTCGGCGAGGGCACTTCGCGTCCGGCCTCGCCCCGGGCCGCGGGCACCCCCTCCTCACCCCGCGGGAAGAGAGAAAGGTCCTCTCGCCGTGCCCCCCCCCGTCCGAGGCGGCCCCACAAGTTGCCGGAGGGCGGCGTGCGGTGCCCTCCGGCTTCCAGCGCGCCCCAGCCCCGGCTCTCGCTTTGTCCCCGCGCCCTCCGGGGCG